TGAGAAATTTCAAGATGCCACTGTTGGTTGTTTTGACGTAACTTAGGATTTAATTACCAGCCTATTTCCTTTTTTGTCTGCTTGTCCTGCTTCACAATCCCCATTCAGGCCTTTTTTCTAGTTGTAAACAGTTCAGGGCTGGCTGTGGTTGTTTGGTTTTAATTGGAAACTGTCTCTTTAAATTTCAAGGAGATCTGTGCGCATGCATAGTAGAACCCTCCGAGGGTGGGACTGTGGTGCCCACTAGCTCAGGCACCCCTATAGTCACTAGAATGGAGTTGCACAGACAGCAAGAGAGCAATGAACAGCTACCAAAAGAAAAGAATGTCCACACTTTTATCTCTGCGGGTCTGGCAGGTGTCTGTGGCCGCTCTGATCCTTCCCCTGCTTGGTCTCACCCAAGATGGTGGCTCCTTGAGCAGCTGAGCGTCTTGAATTAGAAAGCAATAGATTTCTTGCTTCTGCCACAAATTCCCCCAGCTGTAAGCCTTCCAACCTTCTAAATATTCCTTTGTATGTGGTTCAGAGTTCTGGGACCATCCCCTGAGCCTGCTTGGTCGGGTATTCTGTGTTGTTGCTGGCAGAGCTCCTTTACTGCACTTCCACCCGATCTGCCGTCTTGTTTGTTCTCTCTTAATTAGCTTTTAATTGTGGTAGGTAAGTAAACATCTGTTTATGTAGGAAAGTTGGGCATTTGCATTGGCTATTGCTCCGGAGACGGAAGAGAGTCTCTTAAATGTCTGGCTCCTGCCCTCTCCTCCAAAGGGTGCTTCCTACTGGCCAGTGTGTTCTTTTGAGTCTAGAAAAGCAAAGGACACTTATCATTATGCCTGTTATTGTGTGGGTTGAATTCTGCATTGCCCTTCATTTCATGTAATCTATGATTTTTTATTTATATTTATGTAGTGAATAGATTGACTATAATGAATTTGCATACCTGGAAAGATAAATTTACAAAATGCCCAGAAAATAAGTATGTTCTTTTGAGAGAAAAAATTTAAAGGTTCATTTCCATTTTTACTCTTAAGAGTAAAAATTCCTTATATGCGAGCATGGAGAGAGAAAGCAGCTGAGGACTTCAGACTCACGGAAAGACAAAGGCTGTGTGCTGGCAGCCAGGTGCTGGTGGCCAGGGGGCAGGCTTGCAGAACATGTCCTTTCGTTGTTTAAATCATTATATATTCCTGAGTGGTTTTGTGTACATTCCTCCCCCACCAAAAAAAAAAGAAAAAAAAACAAAAAAAAACCCAGAGGAAATAGACGTACATATTATTGAATGATGATGCACAGAGGAGATTGTAATCATTGCAATGAAATGATGAGTGTAAAACTAATGTTCCCCCATGTAAACTAATCACTCAATTCACTTAAAAAAAAAAAAGTCAATTCCTTTTGGTTTCAGCACTTGCTGAAAACTTTTTATTCAATGTTTTGGTCCCTTTATTGCTTTAAAAAATGTTATTGTTGTTAAGTGCCATTGAGTTGGTTCCGACTCATAATGACCCTGATAGGGTTTTTGTGTTTTCAACTCATAGCGACCCTGTATAGGGTTTCCAAGAAGCAGCTGGTGAGTTTGAACCATTGACCTTGAGGTTCAAACCGACATTATGATCGATTGCTTATCCTACAGCACGACACCACGACTCCTTAATAAATATACTTCATAGTAAATATAATTTAAGTATTATTTGGACAGACTCTTATGATTGTTGCCAAGTTTTCTGCCCAAGCAAGATTAGTATTGGCGCCAATAGTGGAGTAGACAACTATCCTTCCTAATGTATCTGTCTTCTGGGGGGAGGGAAGGGCTCCTGGTAAACTCCTAACAGAAGCATGGGAGCTCATGCTGAAGATCATTTCTTAGTGAGTAGCAGTCTTCCTTTTATCTACAAATTCATTTATCTCCGATTCTGAGAGTAGCATATTTCTGCAGGATACAAAGAATGTGTCAGACTGAAGCCAAACTGAAGATACAAAACAAACATGTCAACTAATTTAGAATCCAGAGCGTTCAGGCCATCAGTACTGGAGAATTCAAGAGCAAGGGAAGATTGTTTTAGTTGTTAAGTGCCGTGGAGTTGGTTCTGATTCATAGTGACCTTGTATAGGGTGTCTGAGGAGTGATGGATGAGTTGAACTGCCAACCGTTTGGTTAGCAGTCCAGTGCTTCTCCTGCAGCGTCACACCAGGAGTGTAAGGGGAACTTAGTAATTGCCACTCATTGGTAAGGAAGTGTGGTAGCTTAGTGGTTACAAGTCAGGTTACTAAACTCAAGGTCAGCAGTTTGAAACTACCAGCCGGCAGCTTCTTTGAGAAGTTGCCAGTTAAACTGAACCTTGAATGATGAGCAGAATTTAGGTTTGATGGAGTGGAAAGTGGAAGACAAGGTGGCAGAATAAGTATAATCCAGGCAGAAGGTAGAATGAAGTTCCAACAAAGTGGGGATGAAGAGTCAGTACTTTGCGGAGAGAAAAAAATTCATTGTGGGCCAAGTTCCCACGGGCTGTTGGATTGAATTTGCACTGAGCTCAGAATGTAGTTGAAAGCACTGCCCCGCGTCTCTCTTCTAACTTAGCCCTCGACAGCTTGTTGACTTACATTTTTCTTAGTATTCCCATTCTGTAAAGTTCAGCAAATAAAACATGAATTCGTTGGCAAAGCTAGCTGAAAAATTGCTAGGTTTTGTTTAAATGGATTTCAGACTTAATGTATAACCTAATCAAAAGCCTCAGTAAGTATCTGGATTTGAAGTATCGTGTATATTTTCCTGATATACAGCTTTTCTTTAAAAAAATAAAATAAAATAAAAATGATGTGTGCTTTTATTTTAGAAAAGCCAATGAGGGTTTGAAGGCTATAAACCCAGATGAGACGGGGCCCTCTATGCGATTGTTGGCCTACGGTAAGTGTCAGTACAAATAGCAGCCATTTTGGTTTTTTGTATCTGTAGATTTCAAATATCTGCCTTGATCTATTGGTCCACAGTGTTTTTCCAACTCTCCAAGGCCCTCATGTGAAGGAAAGCAATTGCAGGAAAACCTTGTCTAGATGTTTATTAACTGGGTTACCAGGTTTGAAAGCTCAGTTTTTAACATGGATACACTCAAATTAAGGAGCCATGGTGGCACAAATAATGGAACTAAGCGCTCAACTACTAACAGAATGGTTGATAGTTTGCATTCACCTAGTAAGTAGCTCTATGGGAACAAGACCTGGCTATTATGTATAATGTCATAAGCCTTAATTAGCTTTTAATTGTGACAGGTAAGTAAATATCGTAAAGATTCCAGCTTAGAAAACCCTACTAGGTAGTTCTACTCTGCCACATGAGTTGGAATCGACTTGATGGTATCTAGCAGCAAAAGCAACACGCTCTAGTTAGCTAACAGTTTCTCGGTGATGTATCTGTTAACTTCGTGGAATGTTTACCATGAGTCTTATTGGTACTAAGGAGAACTCAACATTAATGCAGTTAATACCTCTGCATGTTTTTCTTTCAGAATTATCTTTAAACATTGGGCCCTTGGTCAAGCCACTCAATTTGACCCAGGGATCCCTCCTTAAAATACATAGCCACTAAGCAAGCTCAATTCCAGCCCTAAGCCATCAAACGTAAATCCAAAAACTGTTAGAAACCAAAGCCAGAGGTTTAGCATCATGCAGTCCTCCCGACCTCCTGTCTTCTGGCTCTCTAGAGCTTCTTTCTCTCTCCTTTGTCAGATCTCTGCTGCCATTCCACTAGGCGTTTTCTTTCCTCATCCCCCTCCTCTCTCCATTATTTAGACAAAGTCAGCATTTTAGTGCTGTAACAACATACACCCTTTCCCCTTCAACAAAAGGGCGTTTCCTCACTCATCCTTGGAAATCTGATTTGAAGAGAAATCACAGCATGAGAAGTATTTAACAATGTTTTGTCTTTTTCTTTAGTTTCTGGCTTAGGCTTTGGAATCATGAGTGGAGTTTTTTCCTTTGTGAATACCCTGTCGGACTCCCTGGGGCCAGGCACGGTGGGCATCCATGGAGATTCTCCCCAGTTCTTCCTTAATTCAGGTACGTGCTGGGTCGCTATGAGTGCTCAGTTTCCAGTCTGTCTTTATGACATTCTACAAGTTTTAGTGATTCAATCTGCCCATCATTTCTTTAAGGCAATTCAAGGTTCATTCTGGTTTCATGAGAAGGATGTTTTAAAATGCAAATGCAGGCATGACTACCCAACCTACCCAGCAGGGCAGTGAGTCAGGGTAGGAGATGGGACAGTGTTATCATCCTCATTGGAGTTTACTGCCTTAGGAGTGCCAAGTTATGTCAGGTCTTCTAAAGGTAAGATACTGTTTGGCATGATCAAATGAAGAACCTAGAAAAACAAAAATTTTGATTAAAGTATTTTCAAATTTTGAGTGGAATTTAGCTTGCATAAAGTTTATTTTTATATCACTATGCTAACAGTGCTGTTGTGTAGAGGAAGTATTGAAGTGAATTTCTGTAGGCTACCTTGGAGGTTCTGTGGTTAAGCAATGGGCTACATATCACAAGGTGAGCAGTTCAAATCCACCAGCAGTTCCACAGAAGAAAGATGAGGTTGTCTGCTGCTGTAAAGATTTATTGTCTTAGAAATTCTATATTGTTGTTGTTAAGTATCGTGGAGTCGGTTCCGACTCATAGCAGCACTGTACAAGGTTTCCGAGGCTATAATCTTTACGGGAGCAGAAAGCCTCATATTTCTCCCGCGGAACTGCTGGTAGTTTTGAACTGCTAACCTTGCAGCTCGCAGCCTGATTCATAACCACTACGCTACCAGAGCTCCTTAGAAATTCTATATAGGGTTGCTATAAATCTTGGCTCAATGGCAGTGGGGAGAATGTGCTTTGTTAACGTTTTTTAATATGTATTGAAATGTTTCAACAAAACTGACAAAGCCCTGAAGGCCCTCACTCATCTATGCTAAGAAATATGGAAGACAGCCACCTGATCATCCATCTGGAAATGACCCATATGTGTGTCCAATTTAAAGAAAGGTCACCCAACAGAATTCAGAAATTATTGAACAATAGCGTTAATTAATATCAGATGCAAGTAAAATTTTTCTGAAGAAAATTTTTAAAGTGGTTGCAGAAATACATTGACAGGGAGCTGTCAGAAATTCAAGCTGGATTCAAAAGAGGATGTAGAGCAAGAGCTATCATTGCTGTTGCTAAGTGCATCATAACTGAAAGCAGAGAATACCAGAAAGAGGTTTGCTTTTGTTATATTGACTATGCAAAGGTATTTGACTGTGTGGATCATAACAAATTATGAATAATATTGCAAAAATGTTCTAGAACATTTCATCGTGCTCATGTGGGACCTGTACAGAGAGTAAGAGACAGTCATCCAAACAGGACAAAGGGGCATTGATGTTAGGTGCTATTGGGTCGGTTCTGACTCAGTGAACATATGCACAACAGAGCGAAACAGTGTCTGGTCCTGCCCCATCCTCACAATTGTTGTTACATTTGTGCCCATTGCTGTTGCCACTATATCAGTCTATCTCACTGGGGGGGTCTTTCTCTTTTTCGCTGACCCTCCACTTTACCAAGCATGATGTCCTCCTCCAGCTCCTGATAACATTTCCCAAGTCTGAGAGACAAAGTGTCACCATCCTGGCTTCTAAGAAGCATCTGGCTGTACTTCTTCCAACACAGATTTGATCTTTCTTCTGGAAGTTCATGGTATTTTTAGTGTTCTTCATGCTATATATAATTCAATTGTATCGATTCTTTTCCTGTCTTCCTTATTCAGTTGTCCAACTATCACATACATCTTAAGCAATTGAAAATACTTTGGCTTGGGTCAGGCACACCTTAGTCCTCAAACTTTAACATTTTAAAGAGGTCTTTTGCAGTAGATTGCCCAATGCAATACATTGTTTGATTTCTTAACTGCTGCTTCCATGAGTGTTGATTGTGGATCCAAGCAAAATGAAGTGTTTGACAACTTCAATCTTTCCTCAATTTATCATGATGTTATTTACTGGTCCAGTTGTGAGTATCAGAGGTACAATCTACACTGAAGGCTGTGCTCTTTGATCTTCATCAGTAAGTATTTTAAGTCTGCATCACTTCTGGCAGCAAGGTTGTATCATCTGTATATTGCAGGTTGTTAAAGAGTCTACCTTAAACCCTGATGCCATATTTCTGTTTTATATAACCCAGCTTCTCAGATTATTTGCTCAACATACAGATTGAATAAGTATAGTGAAAGAATACAATCCTGGCGCACACCTTTCCTAATTTTAAACCATTTGATGACCCTTGTTTTATTCAAATGAATGCCTCTTGATCTATGTACAGATTCCTCATGAGCACAATTAAGAATTCTAGAATACCCATTCCTCGAAATGTTGTTATAAGAAGTGTTGTTGAGTAGGTTCTGACTCATAGCGACCCTGTATAGGGTTTCTGAAGAGTGGCTGGTGGGTTTGAACTGCTGACCTTGTGACTTAAACTGACCTTGTGATCCATTGCATTATTCTGCAGCACCACACCATAGTGTGTTATATCTCACATAGTCAAAATCTTCTGCATAGTCAATAAAGCACAAGGAAACATTTTTCTGGCATTCTCTGGTTTCAGCCAAGGTACATCTGATATCAGCAATGATATCCCTAGTCCTCTTCTGAATTGGGCTTGACTTTCTGGCAGTTGCCTGTCAGTGTACTACTGTGACCATTTTTAAATTGTCTTCAGAAAAGTTTTACTTGCATGTGATAGTAATAGTATTGTTCGATGATTTCTGCATTCCATTGGGTTACCTTTCTTTGGAAAGGGCACAGTCGATTAGCTAGGTAGCTGTCCTTCCAAATTTTTTGACATAGACAAGTGAGGGCTCTAGTGCTGTGTCAATGTGTTGAATGATTTCAGTTGGTGCTCTGTCATTTCCTGGACACACACCCCCCTTTTTTTTTTTTAACCAATGCTGTTAGTACAGCTGGAACTTCTTCCTTCAGTACCATTGGTTCTCGATCATACACTACCTCTTGAAATGATTGAACATCAACCAATTCTTATTGGTACAGTGACTCTTGTGTATTCTTTCCATCTTCTTTTAGACTTTTTGAATCACTCAGTAATTTGCCCATACAGTCCTTCAATATTGCAAGTTGAGGCTTGGACTTTTTCTTGTTTTGTTTTTTTTTATTTGAGAAATGCTGAACATATTCTCCTCTTTTGGTTTTCTAACACCAGGTCTTTGCATACTTCATTCTAATACTTTGTCTTCTCAAGCTGCCCTTTAAAATTTTCTAGTCAACTCTCTCACTTAATCATTTCTTCCATTTGCTTAGCTTCTCTACTCTCAAGAGCAACTTTCAGAGTCTCTTCTGATATCCATGTGGCCTTTTCTTTCTTTCCTGTCTTTTTAATAACTGTTGACTTTGTTCCTGTATGATGTTCTTTATGTCATCCCACAACTCCTCTGGTCTTCGGTTATTAGTGTCTAGTACATCAAATCTGTTCTTGAGATGGTCTCTAAATTCAGATGGGACATATTTGAAGTCATATTGGCCCTGTGGACTTGTTTTAATATTCTTCAGCTTTAACCTGAACTTGCATATGAACAGTTGATGGTCTGTTCCACAGTTGGCCCTGGCTTTGAGTTGGCTAATGATATTGAGCGTCTTCCCACAGATGCAGTCAGTTTGATTCCTGTGTATTCTATCTGGTAAGGTCCATGTGTATAATCATCTTTATGTTGTTTAAAAAGGTAAGTGCAATGGAGAAGTCATTGGCCTTGTAAAATTCTTACCATATTGTCTCCAGCATCATTTCTATCACCAAGTTCCTATTTCACAACTATAGATCCTTCTTTGTTTCCAACTTTTTGCGCTGCAAACACCAACAATTATCAATGCATCTTGAGTGCCTGCTTCATCTATTTCAGACTGAAGAAGTTGGTAGAATTCTTCAATTTCATCATCACTGGCTTTGGTGGTTGGTGAATAAATTTGAAGGTGTATTTGTATTGTCCTATCAGGTGTATTTGTATTATCCTATATGTTTCAAGATAGATCTTGAAATGTTCCTTTTGACAATGAATGCAACACCATTCCTCTTCAATTTATGTTCTCAGCATAGTAAACCGTATCGATCTTATGCATTCCATTTCATTTCTGACAACTTATAATTTTCCTAGATTCATGCTGTATACATCCAGGTTCTAATTATTAATGGATGTTTACAGCTGTTTCTCTTCATTTTGGGTTGTGCCCCATCAGCAAATGAAGGTCCTGAAAGCTTTGCTCTATTCATTTCTTTATGGTCAGCTCTAGTTTAAGGGGAGACAGCTCTTCCTCAGTCATATTTTGAGTGCCTTCTAACCTGAGGGGCTATCTTCTGGCACTGTATCTGACAATGTCCTGCTGGTATTCTTAAGGTTTTCAGTGGTGAATCATTCAGAAATGGTCTACCTCTCCTCCTTCCTAGTCTGTCTTAGCCTGCAAGTTCTACTGAACCCTGTCCACCATGGATGACCTTGCTGGTATTTAAAATACTAGCTTCCAGCATCACAGCAACACACAAACCACTACAGTATGACAGACTGACAGATGAGTAGTAGAAGGGGATATGTATGTGTTGAAGGGGAAAGGTATATATTAGGATGATAATCCTTTCACCATACTTATTCAATATGTATGATTTGCAAATAATCTGAAAAACTGGATTATATGAAAAGGAACATGGCATCAGAATTGGAGGAAGACTCATTAACAATTTGCAATATACAGATGACACAACCTTGATTTCTCAAAGTGAAGAGTACTTGAAGCATTTACTGATGAAAATCAAAGATTTTCAGTATGGATTCCTTAATGTAAAGAAAACAAACATCCTTACAACTGAACCAGTAAACAACATCATTATAAATAGTGAAAAGATTGAAGTTGTCAAGGATTTCATTTTACTCAGATCCACAATCAATATTCACAGATGCTGCAATCAACTCAAATGACATTGTATTATGCAAATCACTGCAAAAGGCATTTTAAAACTTAAAAAGTAAAGATGTCACTTTGAAGACTTAAGATGTACCTGACTCAAGCCATGATATTGTTAATCACCTCATCTGCATGTGAAAGCTAGACAATGAATAAGGAAGATCAAAGAGAATTGATGCCTTTGAATTATGATGTTGGCAAAGAATACTGAATAGACCACGAGCTGCCAGGAAAACAAACACAAGTCTGTCTTGAAAGAAGTAGAGCCAAAATGTCCCTTAACAGCAAAGATGGTGAGACTTTGTGTCATGTACTCGGGACATATTATCAGCAGGAGCCAGTGCCTGGAGAAGGCCATCATGCTTGGTAAAGCAGAGGGTCAGCAAAAAAGAGAAAGACCTTCAAAAAGATAGACTGACACAGTGGCTACAACAGTGGGCTCAGACATGGGACAGCTGTGAGGATGGCACCGAACGAAGCACTGGTTTGTTCCGTTGTACATAGGGTCACTGTGAGTCCGAAGCAACTCAGCAGCCTCTGACAACAACTATGTATGCATCACCAAGATAACCCCAGACTTTAACCTGACATCTGGACCCTTTTTTGGGGATAGGTAGTGTAATTTAATCTTAAAGTTGAGACTAAAAGGGGGAAATGATGATAAGTTGATCTTTTTATCCAAAGATGCAGTAAAAAAGGACCAACTCATTTCAGACTTTTTTTTTGTCCGCCAGATATAAATTGTCTGGATGCAATGTTTACAATGTTTTTAAACAATTGTAGTTTGAGTGAAAGTTTACAAAGCAAATTAGTTCATTTCCCAGTGATGACATATTTGAGAATTGGCATTTATCTTCACTATCAGTATGGCTGTAACAAAAAGATCGTAAGTTGGTGGCTTTTACTAACAAAAATGTATTTTCTTACTGTTTGTTCAAGTTAAGTGCAGTCGAGTTGGTTCAGACTCATAGCACACTTGTATAGGGTTTCCTAGGAGGGGCTCCTATTGATTGTTCTGCCAGCTGCTTTCACTGTTAAAGTGCCGTGGAGTCAGTTCTGTCTGAAAGCGACGCATTATAGGGTTTCTGAAGAGCAGCTGGTGAGTTTGAACTGCTGTTCTCATGCATAGCAGTCCAGTGCTTACCTTATAGAGCCACACCAGAACTTCACTGTTGTTGTTGTTAAGTGCCATTGAGTTGGCTCTGACTTACAGTGACCTTGTATAGGTTTCCTAGGAGTGGCTGGTGGATTTGAACTGCCAACCTTGTGGTTAGCAGTCTAGTGCTGATCCTACCATCGAGTCCGTTCAGACCCAAAGCAACTCCACTAGATGGTGCTCATGCCCTTTAGTAAGAGAGGCTGTTTTTTTATGATGTTCACTTAAGTGATTCTTTTGGAAGAAAGTGAAAAATACTTTGGCCATTTGGAATAGAATTTGTATTTTCTTCAAATTCAAGGGGAAATTCAAAGAAAGGATAATAAAGACCTCAGCCAAGTTAGGATATCAGTGTTACCATGCTGTGAATATGTCCCTATAGAATTAAAGAACTGTCTTTATTGTGTGCAAGTTTCTTATTTGTTCTAACATCATTCTTAGAGTTTAAGCGTTGAATTATACATTTAAAATTAATTTTTATTTTAAAATAATAACCCCAAATACTTAGTTATCCTAGATATATTATTTGTAACTGCTATTGTAACTTCTTTAGGCACAAGCTCATTCAAAATGTTTCAGTTTAATGTTCATGCTTAACATATACATTTTTTTCCCTTACTCAACCTTATATTCTTGGAATAGTTTATATTGTGTATCCCAGTGTATCCCATTGTATATTGTTGTTGTTAACTGCCCTCGACTCTTAGTAACCCTATGAGTCCAATTCATAGTGACCCTGTATAATACAGAGTTTTCGAGGAGTAGTCGGTATGTTTGAACTGCCAACTTGTGGTTAGCAGTCTAGTTCTGATCCCACAGTACCACTCCAGGGATCTACAGTGTATCCATTCTGGTGTTGGTGGACATTTGGGTGGTTTTCTGTCTTCTGTTATGACACACAATGCTGGTGTAAGTGTTCTTTCAGAGTTCTCTTTGTGCACGCTCTCCTGAGCAGTGGGATCACCTGAAGGCTTGCTAAAACACTGATTGCTGAATTTCTCCACCCCTCATAGATCTAATTCAGTACAGCAGGAGTGGAGGAGAGCTCCACTATGAAAGTGCTGTGCTAAGACGTTCCCAGGTGATAATGATCCATTGATTGAGAACTAAGTGCCTCTAGCTTTATGCTTTACCAGCAGTAGGTAGGAAGACAATGCCAAGGAGAGTTGTCAGACTTGACCTGCTGCCACTTTGGTGGGTACTAATGGCAGCCAAGGGAAATTGGTGTGTCTTTTTTTTTTGGTTTCATATAAAAATGTGCAGAAATATGGAACCTGCCCACTCTAATGTGGGCACCAGGCCAAGATGCACATACACAGAATACACAAGTCATATTCCACAGAAAAGCCTGCATGTGCTCATCAAATTCAGTTATTTTAGACGAATTGTATATAATTTTGAGTTAAAAATAATAACTCAGTGGAATTTGAACATACGGTTTATTGTGAGCAGTTACACTATATGAATATTGGTGTTGAGTGCCATCGAGTAGGTTCCAACTCATCGCAATTTAGCAGTTCAGCACCACATCAGGGCTCCATATGCATATGTTGTTGTTGGAGAGTTGGCGCAAACCCACCAGCTGCTCTCAGAAACACTGCACAGCTTCTTTCACTAGATGGCGCTAATTCACTTTAGTAAGATTGTTATGCCCATTGCGTAGGTTCCAACTCATATGAACCCTATATAGTGTTTCCAAATAGCAGCTGGTAGGTGTGAACTCCCGACCTTATGGTTCTCAGCCTCGTGCTGATCCTCCAGCGCCACACCAGGAGTCTTTAGTACGATAGGCTGTTTCATATGACGTTTACTTAAATGATTCTCCTGAAAGAAGGTAAAAGATACCACACAGCATTAACAACATTTTTCCATTGGTCTTTTTCTTTTTTTAAGATCTGAGAAGACATTTCACTTTAGTGAAGGGACTGGTTTTAAACTGAAAGTAGTTCTTTTTAATTGACAAAGGTCTGTTAATGAGGGTAGAAGGTTAATGGAGTGTGGGGAGCTGGTCAGAATGGTTTTATGGCCTTCTTAGGGGAATGGATTTAAAAGCAACTTCAGGTTGGCTTTTTGTTTTACCTTCTAGAGGAGAAGCTGTGCAGAGGGGACCCCACACTGAGAAATGTGATTTTCCTGATTACCATTGGAATCAGTGTGTGTCCAGATCCCGTGTGCATCCGATGAGTTTAAATGCTCCTTTAGGCGACATGAACCCCAAGAGTCTGTGCGGCGCTGTCTGTCGTCTGGGGGCTGGGCCCTAATGGTTGACTGTCTTTCAGCTTTCATGACGCTGGGTATCGTTTTACTGCACATCTTCTGGGGCATTGTGTTTTTTGACGGCTGTGAGAAGAGAAGGTGGTGCACCCTTCTTGTGGTTCTCCTGACCCATCTGCTCGTGTCAGCCTTGGTGAGTGCCATCCCCGTGTTCAGACTCTGTTTTGAAACCTAGTCCCTTATATCTGAAGTCCTGGCGTGGCGCTGCAGGATAATACCCTGGAACGAAAGGTCAGTTTGAACCGCAAGGTCTGTGCTTCAAACTCACCAGCTGCTCCTTAGAAAACCCTGTACAGGGTTGCTAGGAGTCAGAACCGACTCGACAGCACTTAACAACAGTACCTTATGACCGCTTAAGTAGTGGTTTTACTAAAAATAACATATGCATAGAAAAGTACACGAATCCAAAATGCACATCTTGATGAATGTTCACAGTGTGAACACACCTATCTAGCTTGCCCTCCTATGTCACTTCTGGTCACGACCCTTCTCAGTGTAACCACCCTCCTGTAACACCACAGCTCGCGCTGCCTTTTGGTGTTATGTAAATGGAATCATGTATTTGCTTTGGGGTCTGGCTCCTTTTGTTGAACAATGTAAGATGTATCTGTATGGAGCTCTAGACTGCTTACACATTGAAGTATAGTATTCTGTTGTGTGACGATACCAAAATGTATCCATTCTACAAACTAGAGCCATTGATGGCGTCTCTAGTTTGTAAATATTATGAGTACTGCTGATCTGGACACTTCAGTGTGTGTCTCTTGGGGAGCACATGTACACTTTTGCATATATGCCTAGGAATGGAATTGCTGGGCTGTTGGCTAGAAATACGTTCAACTGTTCATCCACTCGTTTTCTGGAGTGGGTTGATTTCTACTCCCACCAGTAATCTATGAATTGTAGTTCCTCCGCTATCCTGATGGGTATGTTGTGGTGTCTGTCACATTATATAACAGGGCTTCAAAAAGTTCTGGAGTAATTCTGTTATTTTTTAATGCTATTTTTATCACAAACTTTTTGAAACCCCACTCCCCATATACCCATGAAAGAATCCTTTGTCAGATATATGTAGAACAAATAAATTTATCTTTTTCTTTATGTTTTGTACTTTTTGTGTTCTGTTTAGTAAATATTAACCGATCTGTATTTTAATAGTTTAAATTTTTATTTATTTTGCTCATTTGTATATTCTAATTTTCTACAACAAACATGTATTACTTTTGAATTGTTTAACAGAGAAAAAAATATTTGTTAAAGAAAAATACAAAAGAACTTGTTAAGTACTGTCAGGTGGGCTCTGACTCATAACGACCCTGTATAAGCTTTTCTAAGGAGCAGCTGGTGGGTTTGAACCACCGACCTTTGTTAGCAGTCCAGTGCTGATCCCACAGCACCACACCAGGACACAAAAGAGCTTGGTGTGGTGGTGGTGGTGGTGGTGGTTATGTGTGGTGGCGTCAGTTCTGACTCATAGCAACCCTGCATGGGGTTTCTGAGGCTATAAATCTCTATGGGAGCAGGAAGCCTCATCTTTCGCCTGCAGAACAGCTGGTAGTTTTGAACTGCTGACCTTGAGGTTAGCAGCCCGACTCATTACCACTAGACTACCAGAGCGCCTTATAAAAGAGCTTACCACCCTGTAAAGTAAATTAGAATTTTTCACTTTGAGGTGAGTTCTGAAGAGGACAGAAAATGCTCAGTGCCTGTCTTGTCTACCATACCACCAGCCTGGTCTAAGTCGCTATCCTGTGCTCTCTGCATGTAGTGTGCTGTCTTCCTCACTAGTCACCAGGCGAGCACCATAGTCTCCCTTAGTCCTTTCTCGGGGGTTTTAAAAATTGAAATCAGGACTTTCATTGGCTCCCCGTCGAAAAACCCTTCTGTGGTTCTGCATATGCACAGATGAAAAATCCATACTGCTTTATGTAACCTACAACACTGTCAGTCCCTGCCGTCCTCTCTGACCTCCTCTCGGGCTCTGCTCATCATTGATACTGACCTCTTGTCACATCTTGGTTGCCTCACGCTCTTTGTTCCCCTCCTTCTCGCTCTTCCTTTGGTCCTCTTCACATGCCTCATTCTGCTATCTCCCAGAGGTCTCAACTTTCACTTCCTCAGGGCCTTCGTTGCCCATCTAAGTAGATCACCTTGTTCTTACCCATATTAGCATCATCACAATTACAGTTTTTCTGCGCTAGCATTCACCACAATTTGTAATGCTTTGGTTTATTCATTTGTTCCCTTGTGCACTGACTGCCTCCCTTACTAGCACGTAAGCTCAATTGAGGTAGAGGCTTCGGTCTTCACTGCTGCACTCCCAACATCTAACAGGGCACCTGGTACACAGTGGCACTCTACCAGCTTTTTCTGAATGAATAAACTTTTGGAACTCCCAACAGTTTGGAAGGTGAAAAAAAGATACTATTCCCTCATGTCCTCTTGAATATAAAGGATATCTCATTACCTCAAGTCACTAGGATTTATTTCGTTTTCATGAAAATTTAAAAGGCAATTTAATGAACAGAAATTAATTTTATCCCAAAGCCCAGGTTATAAAGCATGTATGGTCTATTGAGTTTTCCATTGGGTTCTGGTTTCTAATTACTTTTTATTATCTCCATTTGAACCTAGCAAAGCACAGATCTGCCAGATAATGTCTGTTGATGAGTGGTGAGGTTAATTCATTAGTTCTTTGGGTCATTTTGGAACCCACTGTGTGCCATCGAGTACTCAGTTCTGACTCATTGTGACCCTGTATAGGGTTTCCAAAAGTAACTTGTGGGTTAGAACAGCTGACCTTGAGGTTAGCAGTCCAGTGCTTATCCTATAGCACCACACCAAGCTCTTTTGGGGCCTAGTGCTCTTCAAAAAAGGAGGCCTGGTGGTGCAGTTGTTAAGCATTCAACTGCTAACCAAAAGCTCAGTGGTTCAAACCTACCAGCCAGCCCACGGGAGAAAGATGTGCCCGTCTCCTTCTGTACCATAAATAGCACGTCACATTCTCAGTTCAATCCTAGACTCCAAACATTTACTATTAGTGGTTTCCAAAAAACATGTATTCCAAAGAGCCGTAGCGATTCTGGAAAGTCTGGTTTAGGGATCAAAAGAGAAAGGTCAAATTGAGATGCTGAGATGTAGCTTCCCAGTGCGTGTTAAAGGAACAGTTCAACTTCTATAGTTTGTTTTCTTGCTCTGTACAAAGCTGTCATTTGAAAGATGGTGTCTGCTGCTAAAGCACTTGAAAATCAGTGATCTAGTTATTTCCAGTGAGTAGATCACTTCAGGATATGCTTAAAAACAATACACACGCACACAAATTTACTGCCTTGGGAAATGTAGGAGAGGGGACAGTTCTGCTCTGCTCTGTAGGGTCGTTGTAAGAATTGCCTTGATGGCAATGGGTTTTGGGGGTTTCACTCCTTAACAGTGGCATGCATTGTATGTTTAGTGAAGCAGACCTCGCTACTGAAAACATTCCATGTTCTTTAGCTGTGGGTCCTGTGCACATGTGGCATAAACTTGCTGATTGCTTTTTCCTTTGCAGACCTTGATTAGTCCTCACTATGGGATAAACCTGGTGTCATCCTACACCGTCCTGGTGCTCATGGGCATCTGGGCGTTCTTCGTTGCTGGGGGCTCCTTCCGAAGCCTCAAGCTCTGTCTGCTCTGCCAAGACAAGGACTTTCTCCTTTTCAACCAGCGCTCCAGATAACCTCCCAAGCAAGCAGGCTGCGTCTTCACAGGAAGCACAACTGTGCCTTTATCTAAAAGTCCCGTTTCCTGGTAGATCTTAGGGAAAAACAAAAAAAACTATCTAGAAAAGAGTCCCACCAGATGGCTTTCCTGCCACATCGGTGGTGCGCATCCCAGCTGCACCCCAGAATCACTCGAAGAACATGAAGCGTGCCATGTCTGTGCAACACCTTCCAGGTTGAATTGGTTTAGGCAGTGAGTGTTTTTAAAAAGCTTCCCAAGGGATTCTGATACCCAGTCAAGTTGAGAAGCACCAGTGTCCATGAGAATGCCAGAAGGAAATAAGAATCCGGTGTTCAGCTGCTGCCTCACCTGGACTGGGCAAGCAAATGCCTGAGTGGTAAATTCTGGTGGTGGTGGTGATGTTTGGGTGCTGTCCGGTCTGTTCCGACTCTTCGCCACCATGTCATCTTTTTAAGTTGTGAAGTCACAAAAGGCTAAAGGGCTACCATCCCTTGCTCTGCTTTCACCTCCGTCGCTGTATGAGAACGAGGCCGGCTGTGCTTCTCAGTACCCCCATGAAGTGCACCTGCTGTCCTACGGACGATGATTTAGCCAAGGAAGATACCGATAGATAAGCTGTTACGTCTCTGAAGGGTTTTTGTTTTTGTTTTTTTCATTCTAGATTGTTCTTGTTATGGCATGACATGGATTTTGAGCATAGGTTCAGTTTATTTAACTAAAAATGATTACTTTCTGAATCCTCAGGAAGGGGCTACAGAATCAAGTTTATTTTGTACAAAGCCTTCCCTCCATTTGATGTTTTTCATGACTATGCCCGGTGGCTCTTGTTGGCTGCAGTGTAGCTGCTTGGTGGGACCGGCCTTTTACCTCAGCCGTGCTGGGAGCTGGGTGGCGCCCTGAGACAGGCTTCTCTGGCTCGAGGAGAGCAAACTACCAGGGTGAGATGGGCACTTATGCTATACTAAATAACACTTTCCCCAAAATGGTGTTGTATAAAATTGACAAATTCATGCTTTTACATAATCCATGTAATCTTTACATCTAGTACATTATGGGTTTGGGTAGCAAATAAAGCATTTCTGTGATTGGAAAACCAAGGTATTCAGAACAACCCTTTTGATTTTCTTTATAAAGAAAAAATGCCAGTGAAGTGTGCCTACCTAGCTAGAAATTGCTTTCAGTGGATGGCTTTGGGGGAGCTGGGAGTGTGAAACAGAAATGACCTCTACCTTAAGGTGATCCCTCAGCGATGCAGACTAGAGCCTCCAAAAGGAGGAGGAACAGCAGTCAGGGCTTAGCTGGGACACAATGCATAGGTGAGTCTGGTGATACTTTGGTGGGGGAAGAATGATGAGCATGTTCAAAACAGAAATATGGTCAGTAGTGTGGGCTGGCCATATGCCTTCCAGGGACCAGAACCTTCCTTGTGAACGAGACCTTTACGAACGTACAACATTAGTGTAAGTTGTGAAAATTTCTCAATGCAGTGTTTGACTAGGCGAAAGGCTTCTAAGCAAGGTTGTAAACGGTTTCATAGGAATTAGTTACTCCCCTAAAGTTTCCTTCACTAATGCAGATACTTCCATTGGCATTTGTAATTTACTGACTTGATACAAGGTTCTCCTTAGACCAAAAGCACTAAAGCCATAGACACTGAAGAGTGAAATTAACCGTGTGTTGTATCTTAATGGGATTAATACTCACTGGGCTGGAATGCTCATCAGACTGTGGTATTCTTTGATGAATAAGCATACAGGTATGTATTCAGTTATTGCTACTGACTTGCTATCTTAAATGGGTAGTCTGATAGGATGTTTATAGATTCGCAAAGTATAGAACATTTGAGAATATTCATAGTACATATCTGAGCTCTGAGGCTGCCCTCTGTTCATTCATAGTTTGATAGTAAGTTAAGAAGCTGGGATATTGCAAAAGCTCATTTATAAAAACTTCTCAGGTGAGAGGAAATTTTTCTTTGATGGTGAAACTGTTGTCTTAGTTCAGGAAGTCATTTGATAATCTGTGAATGCCCATGAGCAAGGAGCTTTGTCACTCCGGTGTCTCCCAAGTGTGAGTGAGCATTGTTCCGATGCACTCCCGCCCCGTTGTTTCAGATAGCCTTGCTTTGTCTCAGAGAGTGAGTATATATGTTCTTCCTTTGCTGCTGTGTATGTATTTAGATGTCTTTTGGGGATGGGGGGTGCGTGATCTGTGATGAGCTTTCTGAGCCCTGTTCGTATTTGGTTAGGAGATGATGTATGGGGAGGCCATGTGGATCTACTTGAAGTTGGCCGTGGAGTTGTTGGTTATTGTTGCGGTGCTCAGGTGTGTCACCATGTGGATAAGAGAGTTCAGTCTGGCTGCTCTCTAAGAAAAGCTATGTTTCTTTCTTTCTCTGTATTTATTTTGAATTCCTTTGAATGACTAGTCACGGCTGGGGAGTTTTGTTGCCTCTAGCCTGACCTTCCTGACTGGGAACAGAGTAGCAGCAGCAGTAGCTTTTCCAGGGCCTCTTCATGGGGACAGTGGCGGGCAGGCATACATGACGGTACCTACAGACTGCACAGAAATAAATGGCTTTACTTCCCGGTGTGAACATGTTTATTCCCAAGCACGTTTTTATGCTGGCTCTGCGTGTTGGCTTCACACCTAAAATGCCAGGTGTTCTTTACTGTAGAGTTGAGGCACTGACAGTGGTGGTGACCCAAGCTTCCTCCACTGTGCTTGTCCCACTTTGTCCCCCTTGTCCCATGTTGGGGACTGGCTGTCGGCGAGGGCCTGCGGGCACCAGTGAAGCCATGCTGGCTGTCCGGCAGGGGTGGCAGCCCGTCGTGGGCATCAGTGGCCGGCCTCTCTGTCCAAAGCTCCTCGAGAGGACTGCTTTGTATTAGCCCTGGTTTTTTTCTGGGACCCACCATCCCTAATGCCAAGTAGACAAGTAGGTGGCACAACACGACAATTATAAAGCGCTTTGCTTAGGATATTTTGTTTATGACTGCAATGTTTGCATATCTCATTTAGCAATTAATTATATAATGTATATTACTTACCTTATAATAATTTCAAAATTAAAACTTCATTCTATTAAATTTTGGTGTTCAGAGAAGTAAGTACTGCCTCTGTATAAAGTGTATAACATTTTATATAAGTTATACTTTTATGTCAAACGTACATGTGATATCAGACCTTGCCTTCAATACTTAATGCAATTGAATCTTTCCAGACTTGTCTTTTTCAGTGAACAATAAAAAGATTGTTTGGCACTACTCACTCCCATGTTTCCTATTTAGACTACATCGTATCTTTCATTATCTGTAACTACTGTGGTTTTTGTCTCCTAAAACCTGGCAGTACATTCTGTCTGTTAATGACTGACCAGGACTGAGTCCTTTTTCAAAGAGCAAGTCTTTGCTATCTGACTTAAAATTCATAAAGTGTGTTTTATCTCTGTGTGTTCAGAGACAGTTTGCACAGAGAAGTTACTTGTGATGTCTTAAACCAAGCAGGAGAGAGTCCGGTACCTCACTTTGTACAATCTATTAGGTAATTATAGGAGCTCTGGTGGTGCAGTATTGGACTGCTAACCACAAGGTTGGTGGTCCAACCCTACCATTAGCTCCATGGGAAAAAGATGCCTGCTCCCTTAAAGATTTACAGTCTCAGAAACCCTAAGAAGCAGTCTGTGCTGTCCTCTAGGGGTGCTGGCAGTCAGACTTGAGCAGTGGGTTGGCTTGGGTTTAAGTGATTGTGAAGCAGTGAATTTATAAACCATCGCCTAGTAGTGTGACAGCGGTTTTAGATTCATGGTTGAAGAAACCGAGTCCACTTGGAGAGGTGAAGCAGAGTTTCAGATTTTATTAAGCCGGCTGACTCAGAGGAGCTCATTTCTCCAGATTCTGAGCCCTGAATGGAGGGCAACACAGGCCTGTATGGGGTCAGAGTCGGGGAGGGGCCAGGCTACATACCTGTTTGAGGGGAGGGGGAAAACCAGAGGGATTGGTCCCATTTGGTGACCTGATTAGCAGTTTAGTTTGCCTCCTGGGTGGAGAGGGCAGTGAGTGATTTTTACCTTTTCCTGGTCATTCCCTCCTTTGATGCCCTTTGGGACCTTTTTCCCAGGGGCATCATCTACATGTTGCTGTTGCATAAGGAATGGTATTTTTATATTGATTTGGATTGTTGGTACCCTTTTTGATTGATTATTATTTTAGTGGCAGTTCCTATGGCCCTGATTTCTAGTGGGAGTAGGCATGGACTGATTAAGTAAATTCCAAATAAAGCAGGTCTCCACCCACAAGGGTCTTTGAACCCTTTAAAGGTGAAGAATTACCCTCCCCATAGACTCTGTGGGTTCCACCCATTCCAGGTTGTCACAGGGACATGGGCAACTTTCTACATTTTTACAAGGTCTTCTACTGCCAGATTCTGGTCATCTGCTTTTAATTCTTTAACCCCTCTCTCAAATCCTTCTGCCTCAGTTCTACTAAAATCCTCTGGGTACACATTCAGTTTTTCTTGCCAACATTTCTAATGCCTTTGTCAGTGCAATCAATTCAGTTTTTTGAGCTGAGATCCCCCGCAGGAGGGCTATTACCTCTACCCGGTCTTGTAAGATTACTATTACACACCCTGCTATCCAAGTTCCTTTTTCCATGTAACTACTTCTGTTTACGAATAACGTCTAATCCACCAGATATAATCAAACAGGTCAGGTGGGCTGAAGAATAATTGGTCAATGATTTCTATACAATCATGGTTCAGCCCTCCAGTTGCCACATCAGGGATGAGGATGGCAGGTTTAGTTGCCCCGTAAGTCACAGGGTAATATTCAGATTGTTCAGTAAAATAACCTGGTATTGCCTATCCGTCCTGTTGTGAGCCATAGGCGTCTCTTCTTTTGAAGCAGGGAGACGGCTTGATGGGGATGAGCTAGCCAGAATGAATTTTTTGGCCTCTTTTCTGAGAGGATATTGGTTTCTGTGGGATGGTCAGTTT